ACATTTTGATCACGTGGATTGTCTCTGGTAGCCGCACAATGCGAACGCTCTCGTATGGGGAAGCTGCCGAGTGATCATTTCCTGCACCTCTTTTCCACTCCCCAAACTCCGTAAGCCTAATTCTGTGTCCGGAGCCAGGTCCTGGCAGCCAGCTCACTGTAATTTTGCATTGGGCAAAGCCCAGGCGCAGATGCGCAGTGGTTGTTGCACAGGCACGACCCTGCGAGGCGACCGAGGCGTTGCAGGAGGAAGCTGTACCGGCCCCGAGCTGCTTCTCCCGGGAACACAGGGATCAACTGGAAGTTGCTCTGCCTTCCCCATTGGAACACCGATGGACACGTCCGTGCCAGAGCTTGACGTGTCTCAGAAAGCCCAGGACCTCATGTGAATGGGAACTTCCTACAGAGATCCAACAGTTAATGAAAAAAAGAGACACCCATGGACTTTCCTATTAATTGCTCTTGCATTTTCCTACATTTATGAGACTCATGAAGGTAAAGCAAGCCTAGGATGTTAATTAATGTGTTTCTCCATAGAGCACACGGACCAGAGGACACGTGGGCGTGAGGCTGAGACACTGGTACGCGGTCAGCACGCTCTGCTGCAGAGACAAAGCTGATGTACTCTCCTTGCTCCAGAGGAGCTCCGCTGCTCTACAGCAAACATACCCGACTGGATAAATTGCAAAAATAACACACCCAGCTGATACTATGAGCATGACTTTTGTTGGTTTGAATTTTAAAATAATACACCAAAAAGTTCATTGGTGTTTACATGCAAGAGATTATCTACAAAATTATATACGATTATTTTGCAAGGAAACCAGCTAAGAACTATTTGCAGGAGAGAGAAACTCCTCATTGTCCAAGGTCACGGCAACTCTCAGCATAGTATTTTCTCAGCAATACACATGATAAGAATGACTGCTAATACAACCCTTTGGATAAAGGAGATACCTAAAATGAAAATATATGCAACTTTACTGACCTACTGTTGAGAAACAGATGCTGAATTGATGTAAACTTACCAGCTGGAGCAGTGAATGGACTCAGGCGTTAACAGGACCGGGCTGCGTAAGCGTAACGACCCTGCCGGTACCCACGCTGTGAAACATTTTTATGTGATGAGTAATAAGTATCACCACTAAAACGGCCTTGTAAATGTTCTGCATTCAAGGAGCTTTTTAAAAGGTTCATTAATCCAACTGCTACCAGGTTTGGCTTATCATACGTATTTTTGCAACACATTTGTTTCTTTTTCCTTCCAATTAAAGCTATGCCATCTTTTAAACATGAGGCAATGAAAACAGTAGGCACTATGAAAACTTACTTCATCATGTAAAAAGACGCAGCAAGTCCCACAGCCCCTCCAGACGCAGTCTGGGTACACAGAGGCACTACAGCCTTCTGCTGGCGTGGGCTGGGCTGGAGCTTTTGGCTGAATTTTGTTTGCTGGCCCTTTCAGGTGCTTCCTACCACCCTCTGCTCCAGGGTCTCCGGGCCATCCCCTCCGCCGTCACAAGTATCTTAAAAGAGGAGAGCGCACCAGCCCGGAGAAGAGGTCATGGTAATCCAGCTCGTGAATCATTTCCACTAACGAAGCCACAAAAAATGAGTCAGTCCTTGGCTTTGTGTGGCCAAAACACAAAGCGATGAATCCATCTTTTTTTTCTTGTGAGAAAGAACTTTTGCAGTAAAGCAAAAAGGTTTATAGAAATCATTCCTAAATCTAGCAATATTTATCAACTTCTTGGAAATAAAATTGCTTATCAGCTAGAGCAAGAAGAATGGGGGAAAAAAGTCTTTTTTAGGTAAGTGGGAGGTCTCCCGATTAGTGGTTTTATTCCTCAGCTTAATCCCCTATTTCACATGGATGCCACGGACAATTAGCACCAACCTTTTCACTGGAGGCCGAGCTCCCACCGGAGCAGGCGGAAGAGCACGGACAATGGACAGATCCCATTCGTTTCCTCTGCAGCGGTCCTACCTTCTCCACAGGCAGATTTGATTTCCTCCAGCACGTGCTGTTCTCCCTTTATCTGATCCTTCTCCCCTCGGGTTGCTTTTCCTTCTTTCATGGGAACTGGAAATAAGATCTCAAGGTGCGCTTCCTACAATACCTGGAAAAATAACCTTAGAGCAACTTTCAAATGATTGCAAAATATTTGAAAAAATCAATTGTACAAGCAATTCTGCTATTTGGACAAAAAAAAAGCAACTCCTCTGAGAGCTTTTCTGCATAAGACCGTTACTGATGCAAAATAGTTTAACCATTTTGAGACTTACCATGCACCAGCAGCCACGACGTCCCAGCCGGCAGCTCCCCCTCCTCACACACGCCAACCTCTGCCTTCATCAGGAACAACCGCCATGTTTGCAGAGGAGTCTGCTCACCCCAGCGTCCAGCGCAAGGATGGCTGCAAAGACCCCACCACCACAGGAGAGACCTGGAAGCCCTCAAAGCACCTCAGAGCCCGTTTTGGAAAGGAACAACGAGCGCTGGGCCAGGGCTAAGTGCAAGCCCTAACGCAGGCAGCAGGGAGCAAGGTCCGTGTCTGTCGGAGCTCTCTTCCCACCGAGGCACAGCGGCCCCTCCACAGGCAGCGTGCCCTCAACAGCACACAAAGCCTCCATCCCTCTTCCAGGCACAGTTAGCTAAAAGGAATACTAGAGAGTTTGATGCTTCTTGCATAGAAATGGTGAGATTATTCAATTTAGGGTGATTTGCTACAGAATTTCAATCTCTATTAGCATTTCTTGTTATCCCCTCCAAAGGCAATGGCCAAAGGAGAGGTCCCGTGTTTGTTGGGATCACTCCCTCCCTCAGCGGCTGCATCTCAGCATTTCAATGTGCTAATCACAGCCTGGCCTTAGTAAGATTCAGATAGATGGTCAAAGTCCAAGAAATCCTGGGGTTACCAAAAGGTAAGCAAATCTAAAATGGGGGGGTGAGGGGGAGCAGTGATGCGATGCTGAAGTTTCAGAGATGCCATTTCAGGCGCACGCAGTACAAAAGGTGCGATGCAAACCCTCCCACCCAAGCAAGCTTCAGGAAAATCACATTGCTGTGTCTTCCGCAAAGGTCACCGTGTGAGGCAGCACATTTTAGAACCTCCACGGAAATCACAAGTATTGCCCATCGTAAGGGCCAAGCCAACGCAGCCACCTCCCCTCTCCGGAGAAGGACGGAGCATGGTATTTTCCCCAATCAAAAGATGAAATCGTTTCTGGGAGATTAAGTCTGAATCCTGTCTGAACCTGCTCAGAGGTTTACAATGCTGGAAGGAAAAAACAACCTGGCTGACAAGATGCAGGCAGGAAGGCCAAAGGTATTTATTTGGTCACTGCAGAAGACCACAGACCTGCCACTTACGTGGTATGAAGTGGCTGAGCTGTCACAGACCCAAAATAATTATTTGAGCTTGGAGTCAGTGTTAACCCACACTGAACACAAACGTGGGTTTCTTCATCCCATCATCCACCCGCTTTCAGCAGCACATCCCTCCCCTGCGCTCCCAGAACCGCTGTCTGCAGAGGAATGATTGAGCTCTAGGTGTCTGCAGCTTCGAATGAAGAGAAACAGGAATGAAGTTCTGTGAATATACAAGACCAAATAAGGCCCAGATGCCAAGAGAGTAAACACAAGGCTGATCTACCAAGTTTGGGCAAATGTGATTCACAGTTCCCTAATGCTACAGATTTTGCCTTGCAGGATAAACTTAATAATTCTCTCTGCGTACACTTACTCTTGTTTAAAAAGGAAGTCTCTGCGCAGCCTCCACCTATCTTTGTCAGCCCCACTGCTTGTTTGTGAGGACTATACATTTGAGAAGTTCAGCCATGAACTACAACCACGAACAAACCATTTCACGAGGCAGGTAAGTTATATATGTGAGACTATGAAAAAACCCAACACACCCCCAAAAATGTATGGAATCGCTGTTTCCTGACCTGCCAGGCTGGCATTGAAGACTGTCTCAGGGCTTGAAAACCTGGTTACAAAAAGGAAGACAGACACCTTGAAGTGGAGGTTTGTGTTACACCTTCTGTGGAAGAGTAATGAAATTCCCACAGACAATCTGCATTTGTAATCAATAACCAGGTGCAATAAAGCGTAGAAACTAAATTAAACACTGTTCTACAGCAAAAATTGCTACATAAGTGACATTTATTAATGTTCTGCTATATTTACAGTTTTAACATAGTAAAACTCCAAAGTGAATTACCACTTGGCAGAAAGCACAAAAGTGCACATTAAATCTACATTTATAACGCATCATAGTCTCTGCTAACACAAATTATAAAAGCAAGAATTACAGGTATGTTAGGAATTGTCTCAAAAGTCCCAAGCCAAAGAAAAAAAAAGGCCTTTGTTTTGCAAGGTAATTTTTTATACAAAGTTGCAACTTGATCTTTCATTTTTACACTACCAGTGTGTACCGTGAAAATCCCTATATAGTCCAAAAAGTAGGTAGTATGAAAGTAAAGTATACTACAACATTGAGAATATAGACTATTAAAAAAATTAATACTTGTGCCACCTTCAAAATAGTACTCTCTCCCAATTACACCTCAAGAATCTGGACCGCATAGACCCATTTTTTCTTTCAGCCACAGACGGCACAGGTGCTGTTGGATTTATGCAGCAGAAAGGTGTGTGACCACAGCAATGCCATCACTTCAACTTTTGAGATCATCCCTTCGGGCCGTCAGCATTATGCACGCTGTACAGGACAGACCAGAGTCCAAACCCGCTCCCAGGATGGAGGAGGAAATAAAGCAAGCCTGTCCCCTGCTGGCTCCGGGGGCAGGGCTCATGCTACCGAAATCACTACAGAAACTATCTATATAAGGCTTTATTAGCACGTCACAGACTCGACTGCAATAGCTTTTTCAAACATTAGCCACTAATGATTCAATGATTACAGAATTCTGCATTAATTATTAAAATTTTACACCTAGAAACAAATAGAAAGAAATGCTTCTCCTTTTTTTTTTTTCCCAACAGTACTTTTATTTATTTATTTTAAAGCAGGTGATTATTTTTTCTTCTGCTCCAGAGTCTTGATTCACTTCCTGCAGGTGTCCTGTTGCTTCTTGAGGGAGAATTCACTAACGCAGGAAGACATTTGCCAGAAAACATCTGTCAGAGAAGGATATTGAATACTGAAACTATAGTTAGATTGTTATTTTGGATAACAGAAGGATGTAGTTCACAAAGAACGCAGGATGTCTAAAGGCTTATAAAGTACCTCAGTACACAATGACATGACTCTAGCAAAACGCTCAGTACTTCTGAGCGTATTTTACGGTTCTGAAGAGTTAAAATTCCTTAGGGGAAAACAGACACTAAACCAGACAATGCTCTTAGAAACACGGGCATAAAAACACATAGGTGTATGAAATTACACTGCATTTGCACTATGAGAATAAAACTTGACTCAGTCTTTAGCTGCTGCATCCACCCAGGATTATGACTTTTGTGTCTTTCTATCAAGTATTCTGGTACGAAAGAGACAGCAGCTCTCACAAACTGTCTATTCCAGCCATGCTGGCCAGAACTGTTTAAACCTGAGATCCAACACAAACCACTTGCACTTGTCATACAGCTCGTGTACTCTGCTGAGATACTGCCAAGGATAATGTCCACTACTAGCACACGCAGATTGAATACCAAACACCAAGCTTTCGCCTAGATTCATTTTCACCAGTTATTATTTTCTGGTTTGCACTGATTATTCCTCTCCTCCTCCCCTCCTAATTTTCTAAAAATTCTCTCTGCTCAAAAATGAAAATGATCATTCACCATGCCCTTTTCATTATGCCCTCCAGAGGAAATCTAATCTTAAAAACAATAATACACTGAAAATCCAAGTCTTTTGTGGTTCCCTGCTCAGAATTTAGGGTTAAAGATTTATTTTCAGGGGAAGTGTCAAAGTTGTAATATTTAGAAATTATTCTGGACATTTATCTCAATATATCTAAAAGAGAGAGTGCTTTTTGAAAGCTCTAAAATGACCAAAAAACCCCCATACAAATAAATAAAAATTTTAAAAAAACTCTACACTTCCATCCTCACAAGCAAGGAGTCAAGCAAGGTCTCTAAAATTGTAATTTCGAATTCCAAACATAGGAGAAGCCTGTGCAACAAGAAACCACACAGTTCCTTTAATAAATGGAAAATTAAGTTCCAGTAAAGAAGCAAAATTTTAAAAAATTGTTCAGTGAGAACAAACTACAGATAATAAAGCTGATGCTAAAACGCTCACACTACATGACCATGCAACTGGGGGAAATAAACCTTCTGGTGATTCAGCAGG